GATCTTATCTTGCTTTAAGATTTGGGGTGACATGCACCGAATCCGTTTAAGCTAAAATGATCTGATCTCACCATGATTCCCCATGGGAATCAGTTTAACTGAGATAAACTTATTCCCATAGACGCCCATTATGAAAACGAATCAGTTAGAAGTTAAACGGATATGGTGCATGTCACCCTTGATCTTGCTTTTCAAACCAGGCCTCCTCAAAAGATGTCGGTTTCAAGGAAAGTGTATGAACTTGTTAGGTTATTAAAATAAGCGCCAAAGCCTGTTTTATGAGCACAAATAGATAGAAATGCATGCTTGCATGAGACTTGCAGATAATGTACAGGGTGTTAAGAAAGTTGTGTCCCACCGCAATTTGCCAATAACCTCAGCAAAAATGTAAAAATCATGAAATTTTTAAATACACAATAACAAGGACAGTTAACTGATTTAGAATCACTCAATAGTTTTAAATATAGCCGCCCTTGGTACAGATGACAAGGTTCAGACCACCCATGAAAGCATTGACTGATTTTCGCAAGACTTCCTGTGGAATTCGCTCCGATTCTCGGTTCAGGGATAGCTTGAGAGAATCCAAAGAACGGTGCTTTGTAGCACACACATTGCTCTCCAAGATGGACCAAATTAAAAAATTTAGGGTGTTCACTTTGGGGGAGGAAGGGGGCCACTGTGAAGTCAAAATGAAGTCGGGGGCATTTGTCCGCAGTCACTCCTGGGTCATCTGCGCCTTGTGAGCTGGCCCTGAGTCCTGCTGGAAGACCCAGCTGCCTCCATCGAAATATTTTGTGGCCCACGGAACCAGGCAGTCTTCCAGGATGCTTTTCTGGTATACATCAGCGTTGACCTTCATTTTCTCGGGCTCAAAAACAAGTGGAGTGCGGTAATCCCGGCCCAGACCATTACAGAAGCCGCCTGTCGACGACAAGTGGCTTGAAAAAAATCAGATTTCGATTTTTCAATTTGGTCCATCTTGGAGAGCAAAGTATGAGCTACAAAACGCCATTCTTTGGATTCTCTCAAGCTATCCCTGAACCGAGAATGGGGGGAGAATACCACAGGAAGACTTGCTAAAATCAGTCAATGCTTTCATGGGTCATCTGAACCTTGTCATTTGTGTTAAGGACAGCTATATTGAAAACTATTAAGTGATTCTAAATCAGTTAACTGTTCTTTTTGTTGTATATAAAAAAATTTCCTGATTTTTAAATTTTTGCTGAGATTATAGGCATATTGCAATGGGACACAACTTTCTTAACACCCTGAAATTCCAGGTATCAGCGCCCAATTCCATATCCAGCTAGCCGGTTGACAGAATGGACACCTGTAGTATATTATTTCCCAACTCCGCTCTGGCATACGTAGCTACGGTATCCTGTTGATTTTGAGAGTACGCGTTGCAGCCACAATCACAGCTGCAATACATCCTGAAAAACTTAGCATCTCGCAGGATCCTCAAGAAGTAATAGGTCTCAAGTCACCCCTGTTTTCCGACTGGAAGTGATTAAGAAAAGCAGCCTCGATCAAGATGCAGCTGGATCGAGGCTGCTTTTCTTGTGATAAATACCGTGTCGTGATGTATTCATCGAAAGTTAAACAACGCGTATAACTTTCTATCGCGCCACCGGATTGAATACGAGTGTTATACCATCAACCATGGGCCGCTCGTGATTTTCAGCAGTAGTGGATCGCCATTGCCTTCAGCAAGCAGGTTTCACTACCTTCGGAAGTTTGAATAAATCTCTTATTGCAGTCAAAGGAAATACCTCCTTGTTACAGGTGACAGGTTCCACAAGTGATCGAGTTTCCTCTGCAGACAGGGAATCTTTTTGGTCCAGATCGAGAGAAGGAAGACAAGAAGACGAGGGAAAGATAATGGAGAATAGAGGATACGTTCCTGACCAAGATGGGGAGAACTCCCCCAACTTATCCCCATCATCACTACCGTCCAGTGTACGTCACTATCATGCCATTTTCTGCTTTAAACTTAGTACCACTTTAAATACCAGTGTCGTATTCGAAGGAGGGAGGGGCCAGAAGTAAAAAAGAATTTTTTTTTAAAACGATGCTGTCCGTTTATGCCTCTTTTTTGCTCATAGGAATCGTCAGCAGAAGAATATTCTAAGTATTCTTCTTGAAATCTTTTCATAGGCCTTTATGAGAGATTACCCTTCTCAAAAAGGTCCAAGCAGATTGTCAGTGATCACTATTTCCACACGTTTTCCATCGATTTTTTCGTCTCTCTGCCAGCATGGCGAAAAGAGTATCGTGCATAAGTTCCGAACTTGATTTTACCGGGAAGAGAAGCGGAAAGGAGTGCAAAGGGTTGGGATTTGCGCGGAAAAACAGGTGCAGAAGCCAACCGCTTTTGAAATCGTTTGGGAGGTGAGGAGCACCCTGACGACAATGGATGGGAGTAGTGCATAGGCCAGTGGTCGACAACTGGCGGCCCAAGGGCCAAATCCGGCCGGCAGAAACTCTTCCTCTGGCCCGCGAAGGTCCGGCTATCGCACATTACGGTCTGACAGTCGCCGTTCCACTGGAAGTTTCACATTAGATATTCTTCAATATTAAAATGTTAATGACACTTGATAAGTGTTGGCCGGCGAACGTGCAGCATTCAGTCGTCCGGTCCCCCGTGAAATTCAGTTGCCGATCACTGGCATGGGCCCTCGTTCAGTTGCCCAACGCATTTACAGGAAGGTTGTAAAACCGGGTTTAGGCACCTTAACCTGGAAACTACGCACTGCTGCTTAGAAAAACTTGGAGAAAACGAGTCACCACGTCTGGAAAGTACGTTACATGACATGCTACATAGGGGACACTGTTGATATGACGTCATTTGCACTTGCAACACGTTGGATGGGATGATAAAATACTGACATAAAGCGGTGACAATTAGTTATCTAGTAGTCTGCAAAGTTGCTGACCTGTGAGCAGTAAATAGAACTTGTGCAATGTTATTAACCCCTTAAATGGACTCGCCGCATATGTGCGGTCTGGCACCTGCCATCTCTCAATGGACTCACCGCACATGCGTTCCCAAGTTCCCAGTTAAGGGGTTAATCGAATGAAATGAACGCAGAGGAGACATGACAAAGCTTGACTTCCCGCACACTGCATGCGTTTTTTTAATACTGAAGTTCTTCCCTGATTTCATACTGTTTCCCAAGTTTCACTGAGATGGGGTGCATACTTTTCATGCTAGGGTTTCGTACACCCGTCAAGTGTCTTTATCATCACCCTTTAGATTATGCTGTATTTGATCTACCTTGGAGTTGTCAAGTCCAGGAGCTTTTAACCCAATTCCGGCCAGGTTTTTCATGAGTGGTTGTGGCAGAGGAGGGGTTACAATAACCCTACCTGTATAGCTGCGATTATTTGCCATTTTATCTCCAAATTTTGAGAATGGTGCATTTTAAATGTTTCGAATTTACATGCATATTTGCAAAATGGAGAACATCCAGAAAGCTGACTTTAAAAATATGAAGCCATTTCAGTGCAGTAGACAATAATTTGAAAGGTGGGGTTTTTGGAATCACATCCCGACCAGAATATGGTTAGAGTGCACTCAGGCCCGCCCAGAGGGGAAGGGGGCATCAAGACAATCTGCCCCGGACCTCGCGTATCAAGGGGCCCCAAGGGGGCCTCCAATGAGACCCAATGCCAAGATCCCAAAAGGACCCATCCATCCATCCCCATCCATACTGTGGCCTCTGAAAACTTCTGGGCGGGCCTGAGTGCACCTAAGCTTCAGCTCTTCCCCATATGCCTTATTGAGGCTGAGTTCATTTTTCTCTGCCAGATGACTTGCCCCTGGTAAGCGCCTTTCTCTTTATCAATCCTCCTACGTTCTTCGAAAACTTTCTTTTCTTTGCTTTCCCCGAACCGATCCCGACAGAATCCGCCAGACGGAATACAATTTTTGAAAGGCGTTTCATGTTTATCCGGATAGATGGGATCGACGACGGTGTCGTTAAGAACGAGCGGGAATACAGCCCTGTTCACGTCTGCGTCGACTTTACCCTACAAGATCGAACGAAAAATCTACACTCAGCAGGATCTCAATAAAGGATTTCTCTATCGACGTCAAAGCACCATCCGTTCGTATCATCTATTTGCTACGTCGATGTGGGCTGAGATTTAATTTAATAAATAGATCAGACCCATTCATGGAATTTCTGATGACGCTTCTCTCAAGATCCAGTTCACACAAATAGACTGATAAACAAATTTTCATTCATAACTTATCATTAGTATTTTAAATGATGTTTCGATTTCTTTTTTGAAAGGGACAATTTTCCCTCAGTATACCAGGAAATGCTAAAGTTTTACACTTATTAGCATTTCGATTATAAGAAATGATCTTTAGTGGTTTTGGTTGTATGCTTCTGCAGTGGATGGGGAGAGGGCGAGAATATATTTTGCCTCTCATTGCAAGTGTTCCTGGGAAAAGATGAAGGGCATCTTTTATTCCCTTTTCCCATTCTTCTACTGGCTCCCAAGGTACAATGTCCGACAGGATCTTGTAGCGGACATAGTGGCCGGATTGACCGTCGGCGTCATGCACATCCCACAAGGTCTTTCCTATTTCCATCTCCATCATTCCTCTCTGCCCTTTCCCAACTTCATTCCTGGTACAGTTGAAAGTCAAACGAGGGAGAAGGTTAGTCCGACATTTCCCGCCTTTAGGGACGATGGTCCTGATGTCATCTTTTGACGTCAATGCTTTCTGGAAGGCTGTCGGCTGCCAGGTTCAGTAACGTCACGAGAATCCAACACAATCCAATCCCCTTCCCTTCCCTGTTGAGGAATCGCGGTTAGGATACTGTCTGTTTTATAAGGAGTTGGGTGTATTCCATTGGATGTTGCTAGAAGTTCTAACCAAATAACCGGTACCATCCCCACTCCACTGGCTAATTAAGGGAAAATATTGGGCTCAGGTCTCCGTCTTAACTCCTGCCGATTTTAACATGGACCTCACAGTTACTCTAATGAAAGGTATCCGAAATGTAATTTGTTAAGGTTTCTAACTTTCTATACAAGCATCAGCTTGAATCCCCTCAAACTTGAGTCTCATAAATTTTAGGCTTCAAGAGACTTAGAAGGATACTTTATCATCCATTAGCATACCATGAGAATGCAATGCCTCCGAGGTTACATGAGGGCAAGAAAATACCACGTAAAATACTTTCTCCATTTCAATCAATCTCGCCAAATGGGCGGGAAGGGAACGCACTCTAGTTCTTCAGCAGTTGGGGTGAGTCTGTTCCTACATGCTTGAAATGTTCCTTGCATAGAAAATTTGCTTACAAGTCTAATGTGACGCCCCAGCTGATCAGTCAGTTTGCTTGTCCACTTATCGAGTGCGATCAGGATAAGAAAACTTTCAATTCAGAAAGTAGGCTCCTGACATACTGCAATACAAAAGGTAGGGAATATACAGTATTTAATCAGGCATTATAAAGACTTGGAAGTGGATGATTGACGCCGACTATCAGCGACTTGTGAATGACAGTACTTGCTATTTTCCTTACTTACGTGGATCTTGATTACTTTTCACTTCGAAAATATCTCATTACCATTTTTTTACTTATTCGAAGTTTGACTACCCTTTTGCATTTACGTAGACATTGACGGCAATTTCTTATTCTTTTTCTGCACTCCGTCTGAATTTAGACGTTTCACCCTTGGGCCAATCTCCCTGAGCATTGTACATGCAACATTATGCAACATTGCACCGATATTTATTCAATTTTTGAATGGATGGATAGGTCTGGCGTACGCCATGCTGGCGAATGTCCCGCCGATATATGGCATCTACATGGCCTTCTTTCCAGTCCCCATCTACGTGCTCTTGGGCACCTCTCGACATATTTCCATGGGTAAGCCATCTTCTTTCCACTCATTAAAAGTTCCTACGAATTTGTTTACGCCAATTTTCTTTCGGTTTATTAGGGCTGTACTATTTAGATTTTACCATGCGTTTGGAGTAGGATATCATCGTACTAGGGTGTTTCGCACGAGAGTCCAAGACCTATACACCAGGGACTTTTCTTGCATGAATTTCGGAGTCTAATGAAAATGTCTCACTCAAGTAAAAAAAAATATCAAAATAAGGCAAAAAAAAATCAGCAAAAGCGTTTTCGTGAAATATCATCGTTCCTACGGGATTTCCTTCTGAGTAAGTTCACAGCCCACATCTTTTCCTTTGTTTTCGTTGCAGGAAGTTTCGCCGTGATTACCCTGATGGCGGGGAAGGTTGTGATCATGTATCAGAGTCAAATGCCGGGCAAATCGGTACCTGAACATATGACTCCCAATTCCTCGGCGTCGCTCCTGGAGGACATTAGGGGTGACCCCACCGTCCAGGTTGCTTCCGTCGTCGCCCTTACCGTCGGCGCCTTCCAGGCATGTCAACAACCATTCTCTTGGCCTCCTTAAAAAATCCATGCAGAAAGGGGAAAGTAATTACTCTTGCACGCTCCTCTACGTCGTGTAAAAAGTTTCTTCATTTAACGGACTGAAATTCATCACGCCGCACAATGGTTCAAAATTCGTCAAAACCCGGCCAAAAGTCGAAAAACGAAGTTTTAATAATTGTGAACATTTTTTATTATTTTATATCAGAGGTGTCCAAGTATCGCTAAAAAAAAATTTCCTGAGTTTCTCCCTCCCCAATTGACGGAGTAATTACCTAAAGTGTTGGAAATCTCACGACAGGCATAGGTTTTTAGTTTTGTAGTGGTCAGTTTCCTGGTAATGGCTGTTTTGAAATAAAATGAACACTTCATAGTAAGAAAATGAAATTTGCTCTGACGGAAGGTGATGATTAGTGACTTCTTTTCTATTAGTTGTTAGCCTTATGAAAAATCAGATTTGTCCATAAATAGGGTAATCATGAAACTCATTTTTTTAAACTAAATTTTTTTGCTGACCTGGAAACTTGTTTACCGGAAATTTGTGTGCCAATAGATGCCAATGATTTATTTTCCTAAAATTCACATATGTATGGTATCCAGTCATGATAATTATAGCTGCCCGTTTTTGCCCGAGTGGTAAGAATGGCTAATATCGTGTTGCCATCTGCAATGTCGTTTCGTATGAGGAAATTTCATCAATCTAAACCAATTCTAGACCTCGTGTTTCATTATATCTGTGAACTAGTGTGCGTTAATTCGATGAAACATTGTTTTCTGGTCCACGTGAAGAGACACTCTAGCATGCACACGAATGGCCAGCGTAGGTACTTGACCTGCATGAATTAACAGATGACAGCGAGCTCAGTGACGACGGTCGCACCCGGCCGAAGGGGGGTAATAGACCACACCGCGTCCTTTCCATGTCAATTGTTTTCCTTTGACAAACTCATCGAGATGTTGGAAATGGTTGCAGATCCTGTTGTGGGCGTTGCAAATGGGAAGCGTGGCGGTGTTTCTCTCCGATATCCTGGTGAGTGGGTTCACGACGGGGGCTGCCGTCCACGTGGCCACCTCCCAACTCAAACACGTCTTCGGTCTTGCGGTCCCCAGGCATGATGGACCCGGGAAAATTCTCAGGGTACTGTCTCTACCATCCATTCCATTCCAACATGCCAAAGAAGCACTTGTTCATGCTGTGCATAATCATCCCCGTAGTCAGAGGCTAATTTCCCTCTTTCGTTCGTCAACTTGCACAAACGTCCTTGCATAAGATGCTTTTCGCCAAAGCGTTTGATGATATTCCACACATGAGAGCGTGAGCTATATTGAGTAATGTCTAAGTGTGGAATATCATTTCCTGAGCTTCACTTTTGGTAATACCTTCGTACGACATCAATCATTGGCAGAAATGAATCATTGACGATGTTGAATTTCAATGTCGCAAAGGCAATAGAAAGGATTGATCCTGTCAATGCGTGCTCCCGCCCCTTTTCCCATTCCGATTACTTTTAGACTATTACTAGATGTATTTTGTCCTTTCCTTTTCCTTTTGTACCTAAATGTCACCATCATTACGATCCACTTGTGTCATGTCGGACAAATGCCTTGCTAGAGAAAATAAAATTCTAAATAGTTTTCCACAATTCTGCAGCAGAAAAATTACATGACCTCAATCGATGGGAAACTCATTCTTGAGTCGAAATACTCACAAAGGCTAGAGTTTTGCGACACATACTACATTTGTACATTACCTCGAGCAATGAAGCAATATTGAGACCGAAAGGAGTCTTTTTATGTGGCCAATGGAGTGGGAGAACTTTAGCAATAGTATCCTCCATCGTACGCAAGAAATCTATCCTCCGGAATTTGGAAGAGGGGCTTTATGTTCCTGCGCGAAGAGAAAGGAAGTACATACTCCCCGTAGATGTTTCTAGAAGTTTCTGGTGAGACTCTAGAACTTTGAGATACTTCAAGAACTTTCCATAACTTTCTAAACTTATATAAATTTCTAGAAAATCCCAGATGGTTCTGACTACAAGAAGTGAAATATTTTCGCATAAACTGGATGTATTCAGAATTTTCTTGTAAATTTTCTAAGGATTTTTAGTCACTTACCCTCACATAATTATTTATACATTTTGATTCCATGCCATTCTCAAATTGAAATTTGGTGTATTAACGGAGAAGAGATCTAGAATATAATCTTAATTATAAAAAAATAAGTGACCTTTTTCGGGAATTCAAGATTAGAGGTGAATGTCAATTACTTCTGATCTTTTTTCATTAAAACTCCATGAAATGCACATAAGTTAAAAGGTCATGAAAAGAGCTTAAAATGACACACCTTTCAGCTATCTAAGTTAATTAGAACAAAACTTATGGGGGCTTCAGTGATGACCACCAGACCCGAAATCAAACTTTTTGCCAACATTCGAATCGTTGCACCTCAGGAAGTACTTGGCCTAGAGAGCTGAAATTGGACGCGGATTATTTTTTCTGTACATCCTGCGTGTCAAAAAAAAATTCATAAAAAGGTCGGAGGTAGTCAGGTTGATGTGCAATTTTTTTTTGCATTGATATGAAATGACCTTGGTGAAGACGTGATCCTTACAGGGGCGTTTGTTGCGCAGGATATTCTCTTCACCTCTGCTTTTTCTTTACTGTATCGAGTATCGGATTCGTCGCAACTGAATAACGATAGATCGAATAGAAACGATGAGAATGCATGATTTGGATTTGTTTCACCCCATGATACTTTGCAGACGTATCGAGATCTCATCCCTATGCTCGTGAAATCGAACGTGGTATCTCTTATCATTTCCGGGGTCAATATTTTCGTATTGATCGTCAACAACGACTACCTCAAGGTTTTTCCTACCAGGCCAATTTTTCGTTTTAGTCTTTTATTTTCATAAGGCATGAAACGCCTTGGAAATGATATGATAGAACTTTATTTGACAGCCGTATCTGGCAAAGAAATGCATATTTCCCGTGCCGATCGAATTGATCTGCGTGACGATCGGGACCCTGCTATCCTACACGACGGAGATGAACAAAAACTACAACGTCAGCGTCGTCGGCTACCTTCCAAATGGGTGAGCGAATGGTAATAGGTGCTCTTATAGCCTCCTTCTTCCGTCCTTGACACCCCCTGGTCTCCCTCCCCCATGGATACAGACTGCCAGCTGCGCAGGTGCCACCTGTCTGGTTAATGCAGGACATGAACTTCCTCATCCAGTGCTTCATAATCGCCATCGTCAGCTACGCCATTTCCATTTCTTTAGCCAAGCTCTTTGCCCGCAGGGGAGGCTACGAAATCGCCCCTAATCAGGAACTCCTCGCACAGGTAACTCATCACGATTCGCTCATCCCTATACGTCTCTATTTTGTGTCACTCGGGTCCTCTTGTGTGGTCCAGACGTATACATGTGTACGTTGTAGACACAGATGTCTGGATTCTCAATGCAATACTCAAAATCGGCATAAGATGGCGTTTATGTTCCTCCAAACTTTCGAAGTCGAGTCGGGACGCACCGGACCTTAGGAGAAGAGTTTTCTTCCTTTCCCTGTATTCATCTTATCATGATACTTGTAAAGCAGTATTTGGTAAAATAATAGTTTTCATGTTTCAATGGCAATCAATGATTCTGGAAAATCTTAAACGATGGGGTTTTGTGCGGAACTAGAGAAGTATGAACCAACGGGTTACGAGTTTTTTTTTTTTCTCTCTGATGAATTAGCGACCAACTTTAAATAAACTTGAAAGACTGTCCCTGTAGAACAGGGTGGTCTTGTTACCTACTGGCCCCATGATAACTGGAAAAGACACTGTTCATGGGACAGTTGGCACGTCCAGTGCGAAATGGAGACTCTGTCCGCGTGTTATCAGTGACAGTTCGCTGCCTGTCAGAGACGGGGTGCCGGATGATGGTGCCATTAAAGCTCTCTTCAAAGCTGATAATTGAGGTTCATAAACAGGTTTTTGAACGCCCCTAAGCCCGAAATGAATAGAGATAAGAAAGGTAAACATGTGTACCTTCATTGCCACGGGTACCTTTTCAAAGAACGTATTTTACGACATGCGTTTGTACCTCATAACGTACAACATACGAGGTATGTACCTCACTGTACGTTTCTGCTTTGCTGTGTAGGAGTTTTTCTTTTCTACGTGAATATGCATCGGAATCCTCCACGGACGATTCCTATGCGATTTCTAATTCGTGTGGCCATGACGAGGATTTCTGACTTGGAGATCAACTTTGACCATTGATTGGTGAGCGATTATACGATCCATGTAGTTGAGTGGTTATGATTCGTCTCGAACCGTTAGGGAGCCGGAAGTGCTTTCGGATCGCTGTTTGGATGTCCACCGATTGCGGCCTCACTGGCGAGAAGTATGGTTCAGGAAGGTGTTGGGGGAAGGACTCAGTTGGCGAGCCTCGTCTCATGCTCACTTCTCGTCCTCGTCCTCTTCTTCATTGCTCCCTATTTCGCTCCCTTGCCCAAGGTACAATAAATGGATCGAATCTCAACCATACGCGGTACCAAGTTTGCGGTAGGAACCCAGCTTTCTTGAGTTTCACAGTAACTCTCAGTTCAAGTTCGCATCGTTTCCTCTCCTAATTCATGCAGTTTTTAAGCTTCCAGGATTTTTCTATAAGTTATTAAGATCTAGTTATTTAAAGTTTTGCAACATTTTCTTCATTAATTTTCGTTCCCTCGAAATTTCTAGCATGAAAAAAGTAAGATATTAATGAGTAATGCAAGTAATGTGAAATGTAATTAGTGAAGAAAAAACATGTATAGCTGAGTTGACGATATAAACAGTAGTTACACGCAATGCAAAATAGTACCTGGGACCTTCAAAGGTTCAGCTCTTCGAAACTACAATTCCTATCATTTTCTCGGAAAACAGCTCGGTATGATTCATATTTGTTGCCACTCCTTCACCCGGAAAAATAGGCTGTATTGGCAGCGATCATCCTGGTGGCGCTGAGGGGGCTGTTCCGCCAGGTGTCAGATCTTAGGAGAGCGTGGCAGGTGAACAAGTTGGATGCGTTCGTCTGGCTCGCTACCTTCCTGTCGGCAGTCATCATTGACATCGATTTCGCCCTCGGCATCGGCTTCGCCGCATCCGTCTTTACTTTGATCCTGCGGAACCAACGGCCCAAGGCCTACCTCCTAGGGCATATTCCCGAAACTGGCATCTATGTCGACATTCGCCGATACAGTCTCGTGAGTCTCCATTTTCCTTGTTCTGTTCAATATTGAGTAAATTCCTCGAGAACTCCATCTTCCTTGAAAAATATACAAGGGAGATGATCGAACCTGATGCCCTTCCACTTTCGCAATAAATGAGCAAGTATTTTCTAATCAAAATAATCAAAATATTTTCTAATCAGTCTTGGTCGAGCGTTCGTAGCGTGAGGACGTGTTGGAGGTTACTCTCGAGGTTCTGACAGCTAAGTCGTGAGTTAGTTGTTACCTGGCTACTTTGTAGCAGTATTCATAAGTTTTCTGATAGCTACCTCCAATTTCACATTAGATCAGTAACAATCAGCTTAATTACTTTAAGTATTAGCACATTACTC